TCTATCTCTCTATCCATCTATCTATCTCTCTATCCATCTTTCTCTCTATCTATCTCTCTATCTCTCTATATAGCTCAAAAACAAAAACTTACTCAATGGAATTTTTTTCAGTACATTGTACATTGGTCAGTGAGAATATTTTGTGAAAAATACATTCATTGTTAACGTAAAAACAATTCGAAAAGCAATCAAATATAGTGCTATAAAGTATATAGTTTTCCATGTTTATGTTTTTTGCCAGTGAAGGTGTTGATGTCATGTGGCTGAGAAGCCTGTCGGTCATATGGTTCCCATGATGATGGTATGGTCGAAGTGTGTGTGTGTGTGTGTGTGTGTGTTTGGAGCCAGAGCGAGCAAGAGAGAGAGAAGTTACGAGTGATCTGTGTGGAATATTACGGCTTGTTTTAAGCTGATTAAATGTCGCGTAAAAGTGATTGGCAGTATCACTATTCTGTGTCGAGGGACACCATGATATTTTTAACAGATTAGACGCTAATATATTGACGATGCACCATCTGTGAATTATCTGTGTCAATTTCCGATGTTCATCCCTAATAACAACCGTATTTACAAATGGAATTGTTAACTGCAAATTTTTTTTACACAAACTGCTGTGCAAATGAAACTAATACAATTGCAATTTTTGGGTCACATTTCTAGAATTCCCCCCCCAAAAAAAAACTCAAATTTTTTTTTCATCTAAAAACACTAAATAAACAATATGCAATATATTTCTGTTACTGCTGGTCATGAACAAATCACAACTCAAAATGATTACCGAAACAGAAAGGTACAAAAAAGGGTGAGAGTAAAACTGTATGAGTCAGGGCGGTGTGTTTTTTGTACGAAATTATTATGCTTTCGTTAATATTTGGTAATACGGCAGTTTAAACCTAATTTTTATTTCTTATATATATATAATATATATACAGTATATATATTTATAAGTATACAATATATACATATATAAATATACATAAATATACATACAAATATATATATTTATAAATATGAAATGTATACATATAAATACACATATAATTATGTATATGCACATATATATGTACATATATGTATATATACATATACATATATAAATATATACATCTTTTTACTCATTCAATAATTATGATAATTATGATTAAATATGTTTGACCCAGATATATAGAACATATCTGCGTATCAGGGTAACTACAATCACAGACAACTGGGGTTATATATAAAAATATATAAATACTCCGACTGGGTCCGGGTGAAAAATGTGCGAGTACGACTCACAAGCATGGCCTGAAATAATGTTCTCTAGTGATGTTTGAATCCAGCAGGGCTTCGCGTCTACTCACTCGATTGACATCCTGGCCACAGATTCCAGGGAAGTGTAACCAGCTGCTGTGAAGTTGTCTCTGTATCGTTCCATCTTGATGGCTTCCAGCCACTCTCCCACCGAGCGGAAAGCAGTGAAGTCTGGTGTGCTCTGATCTAACAGTGGACTAATTGGTCTGCGGGATGAGCACAAGGAGATGTTTACCGCGTGTGTGTTTGAACAGGAAACGGTTAGCGACGAGCAAACAGGAGGCGAGATAAAGCACTGACCAACGTCAGGCGACGGCGCGGAAAAGTGAAACAAACAAACAAAAAAAGCCAAACAAACAAAAAACAAACATAAAAAAGATCATTTTCAATTTTTTTCTTACGTGTTTTTTTTAAATCAGGATATGTAGTGAGTGCAGCCCAGCAGTTGTAAAAAAGCTTTTTTTAACATGCTTGAACCCCAGGGTTTCGATTTCACCTCAGGAAAGTATGTCCTGACTACAAATAGATTTCATTTGACAGGCGTCACAGTCAGGTCTGAAGTCCCTGCTGCACTTTAAAGTACCAGGAACTCATTATAGAGATTGATTTAAAAGCCCTGCTATTCACCATAAAGCCATGGAAGCTGCTTTGGGGTATCGATCCTCGGGGATTTATCTGTCATCTGTGAACTAGAGACTAAATCATTCACTGGACACTTTGGTTCATCCCTTTAAGGCCTTTCAAAATATATATGCATATATATATATATATATATATGTGTATATATATGTATATATATATATATATATATATACACATATATATATACATATATATACACATATATATATACATATATATACACATATATATATACATATATATATATATATATATATGTATATATATATGTATATGTATATATATATATATATATATATATGTGTATATATATGTATATATATATATATATATATATGTAGTATATAGTATATATGTATAAAACCACACTAAACAAAGAGTTTTTTTTTCTCTCACCTGGTACACGTTCCCACTGGTGTTTTCAAGGTGTTGGGGTTACGGATCATCTTATCGAGGATTCCGACTATCTGGTCAAATTTGGGACGCTCTGCGCGGTCTTTCTGCCAGCAGTCCAGCATCAGCTGATGCAGCCCTGGTGGACAGTCCATGGGGGCGGGAAGACGGTAACCCTCCTCAATAGCCTTTATGACCTGAGGAATGAATGAAAACACAGAATTTTTTTAATTCTCATCCCTCTATCGTTTAATATTAACCTCAAGTCTCCGACTTTTTTATATTATTATTCTGCACTATTCACCAATAAAAACGGGTGCGAAAAACATCCATCTACTGTGCCTGCTGTAATTTTTTCTCTCTGTTCAAGCAATTAATTCGGAACAGTAAATTCTTCCCGATTAATCCCGATTTATTACAACCACAATTACGTGTGATTAACAGTGATTATTCCGCATCTACCCTGGGATTTATCAAATTAAAAATTGGGATCGATGAAGTTCATAAAATAACGATCAACACAATAGCTAGCCTTATTAATTCTAAATCATGACTTCAATTGTCACCATTTTGGACACATCTGAAACCTGGATCCTCAAAGCGTCACCCTTGACCTCGAATCTTAACGCCAACATTTAAATTCGACTATCCGAAGGTGAAACACTCATTAACTTTAATCCAACACACCAGTGTTGGAGCGTAGGTTTTTTTTTTACAAACTGAAATTGAAAACCGAATTGGTTCGCACCCTTAATGTAGCTCCCCTGACGAGAGCAACTTGAGCAAAGTTTCCTTTTCCACCGCAACACCACCCGGATAGTAAGCGCTACATGTCAACACCTCTTTCTAACCCAGTGAGGCTGCCCAAACTTTTAATTGAATCAAACCCTGTTGAAGTCACCGTTCCTGTTCTTCCTACCAGACAGACTCAGAGGTACTGATTTGAAGCCCACTCTCTCAGTGGGAAGTGTCCGTTCATTTTGGAGAATTGCATGCGAGTTCTCCGTAACCATGGTTTTTATTCAGACTTTTGGTAGCTCTCCTCATCTGAAGGTTCACTGAAAGTTCATTACTGCATTACAATTGTAGGTACAGCAGGTTGTAGTACACTTTTATATCGGTGTACAGCCGGGATGCTGTGCCCGTTTCGGCGCACTTGGTATTCATGAGCGATCCTGTCAGGACAACTCATACACGAGCGAGTCACGAGGGGGGGAAAAAGGGGTGTCAAAACATTGAAAACTGTTGTAGAAAATGCAAATAATGTTCTTCCGACACCCTCAGAGGATGTTTGCTGACGTCTTGACAATGCGCAAAAAAAAAAAAAAAAATATCCGACATTGATGTCTGTCAAGTCTTCCAGTGGCAAAACTCTGCATACGCCATCGGAGTACCCAAGACGTCTTGTTTAGCATTTTAACTTGTGATTGTTCTATTGGCAGGCCGCTGCTTTGGAACCGCCGCAGAATCTTAATCATCTTAAGCCTTGATCCCGTGGGCACTGAACATCGTATAGATCTCCTTCCAACCATCAATCTAAATGTGTAAACTGTCCGACAATAAGGACAAGCTCCAACTCCTCTGCTGCGTTTCGAGTCAATAAAACTACCGACGGACAGTTTCGCAGTACGGCTATATTCAGACGTTAGTGGTTCTTGGAGTGGATGCCGTCTGATTACGGGCTTCTACTCTCGGTTATATGAATGTACGCCAGCGGTTTTCAACCTCGGGGTCGTGAGCCCACGTAGGGTCGCATGGAATACGACTGGGATCGGCCTGACATTGATTTAACTGTATTCTTTCATATTCATGAATATAAATTGAGTTCAAATAATGTATTTAAATAATAATATAACGCATAAATATATGTAAACAAATATATTAAATATATAAATATATAATATATATATATATATATATATATGTATTTATATAACAAGTCAAAATAGGTTAGGAACCACTGATGTGCAATAACCAGCAATGTGTTTTATTTGTAGTCTGATTAATCATATATGTCTGTCAATTAATCATGACCAAAAATTCACCTTGTCAATCAAAATTCTAAATATGACAAAAATGCATTTTGTACATTGCTGGAACAAAGGTAAAAATACAGCAGGTAGATGTTCTTATGTGTGACTGATCCAAATGATGGAATTATAAATATGGAGAAATTTCAAGAAAAATATTCAAAAGTACAACATTAAAATTCTGCTTCAAATAGTTGCCGGACCTGATGGTAATTGCTTCCAAACTTTTGGTGAAGCCTCATAATCGGGACACAAAGCTGGGCATCCGACCTCGACTTGAACCCCGTTCTCCCGCACGCCGGTGATTGAGGTGGTATTTTAAGCTTGAAGTTTTCAAGCAGTGTGTGTAAATGACCAAATGTGAATTCACAGAGTGTGTGTCATCCTGCCCACGCGTTAAATATTTTAATTGGATTAATTTTACATATTAATTAAAGGCGATTAATGGGTTAATTTTGACAGCCTTAATTATTATATACACATTTTTTTTTTTAATTAAGGCAGAAAATGTGCAGTTGTTACATCCCGAAATGACCGACTATTTAAAAATAAAAATGACTTCCAGCTACGCATCCATGTTATGTACGACGCAGCAGTAACTCACATCTTGGTTGGACATGTCCCAGTAAGGCCGTTCTCCGTAGGACATCACCTCCCACATCACAATACCGTAACTCCAGACGTCGCTGGCCGAGGTGAATTTACGGTACTGGATAGCTTCTGGCGCGGTCCACCGAACAGGGATTTTCCCGCCCTGTTCAGTAAAATGCATGTCAGTGGCTGAAGCAAAGATCATATTCACTACATGCCGCTTCTTGGCCTAAAAAAAAAATGAATCGGAGAAGAGTGTTTCACATAAGGGAGTCTAAACAGAATTGAAACACACATAACAAACTTCTGTGACGGGGTGTCAAACATATGGCCCGCAGGCCAAAACTGGCCTGCTAGGGTGTTTAATCTGGCCCACTTGATGAATTTGGTAAATTAAAAAAAATACACAAACACTTAATATTCAGGATATCTTTTTTGGGGTAAAAATATTATTATTTAATTCAATATGAATACATTATAAAATTACATCTAATTTTGTTGTATGCGTCCCTTAAAACCATGAGTTTGACACCCCCGTTCTACGATTTAAGACGACGGCTTTACAATAATCACAGACACTACTATTTCTTGTACCTGTTGTAAAACATTTTGAGCAGCTATTTATGGTTGTTTATAAGTATTGGAATTTGTTTTGTTTCTAAAGAAATGTATCATTTAAAGTGAACCAAAATTTAACTTCTGCCAATAGATTTTTTTTTTTTTCATCCGATGAGGAAAATTGATATCATTTATTTTTTTTTATTGTGCCGACAGCAGGCACTTAGCCACTACTTATCCAAATGATTGATGACTTTCCGGTTCAATAAAAGAGTCATTAATATTATGAAAAAAAAAAATGCCACCAAATGTGTCGACAGTGTCCTTATGCATTTAAATAAGTCTTAGTTGGCCAAAGTGTGAGTGTCTTCTTGCAGGACCGGAGAAAAATTATGGTATATATTCAGTCCTTCCAACTCCCTAAATTTAGCCCAAGATCTGCTTTCCGAGCATGACTCACCATTTCAGAAACACTGAAGTAAGAGCTTTCTCTCAGTATATTTTCTTTTTTTTTTGGGAAGCAACTGTACAATAAAATATATGAAATATATAATAAATATATTTTGTAAATTTCCCGAGATACAAACATTTAAAACGATACTTAGGGTGTGCATTGACAAAAATCTAACAATACGATACGTATCGCGATACAGTGTTAACAATGCGATATATTGCGATACTATAGGCGCAACGATATATTGAGTATTTTTAAGCAAATATATCGGCATATTGACATTTTCTCATTAAAAAAAAAATTGAAGTCTTCGCAGTTCTACTAATTATATTATTATAGGTAGCAACATGTAGCTAAAGAGAAGACTCTTGAACTAGCGCGTCTATATTATCGTATATTCCACACTCTTATCTCATACAATTTACATGCCTCAGAGCAGTAAGGCATTCCTTGACTCGGACTTAGAGAGAGAGAAAAAAAAAGAAAAACACTCACAGTTGTTGTATAGACAGCCTCCGGATCGTCGTCGATGACTCTCGACAGGCCAAAGTCCGATACTTTACACACAAGGTTGCTGTTGACGAGTACGTTCCGTGCAGCCAGATCTCGATGGACGTATCCCATGTCGGAGAGATACCTCATTCCTGCTGCACTTCCCCGCAGCATTCCCCCCAACTGGCTGACTGACCATCATGTTTCTGAAAAAAAAAAAAAATCAGACATCTTGGCCGAGGGAAGTGAAGGACATAAATCTGGCGCAGCTCCAACACGAGATTTTTTTTTTTTTTCCGACGTGCAGACACTACGTTATATCTGCTTTCTCGTTTGCTCTGAAGTTTGTACTCACCCTAAGGAATTCGTCTAACGAACCGTTCTCCATGTACTCGATGACAATCATGACTGGTTTTCCTGGAGGAGAAATAAAGGCGGGAACAATAAAGAGAGACATGATTAACTGATACCTTTTTTGTTTTCCTCCAAAAGTACATATTACGACTAAATAAACTGCGACCAAAACTTATTTTTAGCCACGTCTCTTACGTTGGCTTTTAATTAAAAGTCACCATCTGCTTCTTTTATTACGGTGCCTAAATTGGAAAATGTTAAACAGGGAGTGCGGATAATTTAATCAGATATAATGCCACTCCAAGTCAACGTTCTAAAGTCTAAATATTTTAAAATGCTCCAATCGCTCCAATCATATTAAATTTGGCCTTTTTATATTATATTTTATTGTTGTGTTCGTGGTTTTGTCCTTTGCCAAGGCAGTAGACTATTTTATTTTTTATCTTCGGTGAGTAGAATAAGAACAGAATCATCAGCCATAGCGCTAGCATTTACCTCTGGTCACAACACCTTCCAAATGAACCACATTGGGATGGTCGAACTGGCCCATGATGCTGGCCTCGCACAAGAAGTCTCGCCTCTGCTTCTCCGTGTAGCCCACCTTGAGCGTTTTGATCGCGACGGACACGTCGCGTTTCCCGGGCAGCTTTAGCCGCCCACTGCACACTTCCCCGAACTCTCCTGTAAAAGGGGGGCGGGGAGGTAAAATCACTTTTGAGTGTTGGTGTAGTGTGTTCAAGAGATATATATAAAAAAAAAAATCAAGCGCTTCAAGATGACGAGTGTATTATTAGCATTTTGAGACAAAGGAGCCTCGCTGCGGTGGAATACAAATTGGAGTGTGACATTGTGTAACACTCCGGGGAGTGTAACAGAGACCTATAATAAGACATGCAAAAGAAGCACGGATACTGTCATTGACCGCTTCTGTGGCAGCGATTTCTCAGCATGAGGAATCCGAGAGGCCGCCTTGTTCAGATGTACATTAATTGCGATGAACCCGTCCCCCCCCCCCCCCACCACTCCTCCTCTTGCACAGCCGCAAGCGAGCAGGAGCATACAAGCTGTGTCCCTACTCAAGGTGTAAATATTTGGCTGTCAGTTTGATATATGAGAGAGTGAAGTGACTCAAACAGCAAGAGCTGAGAGACGCAAGCAGAAGCTCACCTGCTCCAATCACCCGCTCGATTTTAATGCAGGACGCGTCCAGCTCCTTGGCAAATTGATGGACAGCCCTGTTCGGATCCTCATAGGTTTCGGGGTCAATGTAGGTTTTGGTGCCTGGAAATTTAACTGTAGAAACGTAAGAGGATTACTGTTACGATTAAATATGCACACTGTGCAGCGCAGCAGGCACTTGACAGGCGAACGATTACAAGGAGCAGCAGGGTTCGCTGGGAGCTGCTGAACGGTAAGAGGCCGGTGTCGGCAGAGCGTTCATGTAAGAGAATTCACACAAACAAAACAAAAAAATGCAAAAATTTGAATAACCTGTTGGTTACTTTTCACTTGTGTGCAGCTAAAGCAGCACATAAAAAAACCTATCAATTTTAATGAACAATGTAATTTCATTTTTACTACATCTGTTAAAACCAATGGAAAGTATGAACGTTTTCTAAAGAAAAATCCCATTTCCTGCCTGCGAATGCTCACGAATCTGACTACTGCCGATTGTTTTCACAAAAATTAGGCTTTCTGAGTTTGAAGGTTGATGCAGAAACATGATCAGCATCTTATTAAAGCTTCATAATGAGGTTCGAAGAAGCAGAAACAAACAAGTAGTCAGAGAATTGGATAGATACGGCTGTAAGCATATCTTTATATATATGTATATATTTACATATATATGCACATATACATATATAGATATACAAACACACACATATATAGGTATATATACATACATATAAATAGATACAGTATATGTATATATATTTAAATATATATGCATATATATGAGTTTATAAGAAATTATGAGTATATCATATATTGAATATATAAAAGTTTTTTTTGTAAAAGTATGTATATCACAGTAAAAAACTGTTATGCTGCTCAATACATCAACACATCTGTTAAAACTAATGGAAAGTATATTTACATATATACACATATACATATATAAATATAAATATATGCACACATGTATAAGTATATATACACATATATACATACATACATATATACATACATATATACATACACACACATACATATATATGTATATATACATACATACATACATATATATATTTTCTTTGGGTTGAACAAACTTCTACACAAAGAGAAGAACACCAGTTCGAAAAGTGCCCCAAAAGATTAGCGAAAAACTCTATGATGCACTGTAAGGTGACCGTGAAGCACATACACAGTGTGACGACAATATATAGAGTACGAAAGCTAAGAAGGAATATTTTTGCCACAATGGACTGAGACAAGAGCGAGCTCGACTGGAAACCTTTTTTTTTTTTTTATATATATATATATATATTCTCCATATACAGTATGGACATTTAGACCCATATATGCTTTGCCCATAAGGCATGTCAGCGGTCTGATAGGAGGTGTCTTACTCTCGCCACTTCCTCGCTGCTGTGCGGCAAATGAATATGTGTCTACAGTATATGTTTAGCGCGCTCATGCCATCGGGCTTCTGCCTCCCCTGGCAGCCTCCTGTCATTTGATATTGCATTGCAGATCTCTACAATGAGCTCATCATTCTCTTGTTTATGTTTACGACCTGTTTTTTTTTTCACTTTCTTCTACTGTTTTTATTTCGTTATGTGACTAAGGTTGATCGGTCAGACACTTACGTACCAGTTGCCAACCTGGGTTTTTTTCTCGGCTCTAGATGCACACTCTGTGTGACACCAATGACCCTTTGTTTCCAAATCAGCAGTTTGCCTACAGCATGGATCATTACAGCTCCATTCGGGAAAGCTACATCTCCAGGGGCATCATTAGGGGCAGTATGTGTGTGTGTGTGTGTTTTTTTTTTTTAAATCCCATCGTAGTGAAAGGAGGTACCCAGAAGCGGTGAACGCATAAACTCGACAACTCTCCAAAGCCATCTAAGTTATGGCTCTAATGCGCTAGTTTGTTTGTTTTTTTCCCTCATGGGTCAGCCTTTTACTGCCTCACTGACAGCTGTCATCACCGTGCCCTTGTAGTTTCCTGACTACTTCATCTACACATGGCGAAACCGGCGAAGCAGCACATGTCCGCCTGATTCTTCCCAGATTTGGCTTAAGTCGGACGAGCAAGGATACGACAAGTTACGCCTGCACATTCTAATGGGTCTTAGGATCAGCTGGCTTTGGTTAGGAACACGTCGGAATCGAAATTTAAGTCGCTTGAAAAATTTTAAATCTTGAGATTAAATAATATTACATGAACATTAGAGCAATGCCCCACATAAACAGCTGACGCCTCTTATGATGTCATGTATCTTCAGCAGAGGAAAAAAAAACTTTATTTTTTCATGTTTAACCTGGTTAAATTTCTAACAGGGAAATGTAAAAAATATATTCGAATTGTTTATTGCTCCGTATTTTCCGCACTTTTTTATGGCTGGGTGTGCGACTTATACTCAGGTGCGACTTATATATTAAAATATATAATTTCACATGTTTGTTATTTTCACACTGACAGCCGCTAGAGGGCACTCTAGGCTTGTGTACCAGTATATGCCACTCCTGTATCGCTGGAAATTTACATGTTCGTTATTTTCACACTGACAGCCACTAGAGGGCACTCTAGCTAGTTGGTGCGACGCAAACTCCAGAGCGACTTATATACATTTTTTTTTTTTTGTCTTCATTGTGCATTTTTTGGCTGGTGCGACTTATACTCCAGAGCGACTTATAGTCCGGAAAATACGGTACTAATAATAAAGATGGCTCGTTCAGAAACTCTGGATCGGTATCAGTCATTTCAGGATCGAACATGGGAAAAAAACACAACTATAGCCCGTCTGATCCAATACCTAAGCCCGAATGCTTAACCTAGCTACCTGCTACATACGGTAAACGGTAACATCGCCTCAGCAACAGCAGCCCGCTTCATGCTGAAGCAAATTGATATCAAGTGACAAATGCACATATATTCTGATATATTTCATCGAAAAAAAACCAAACTCTTATTTTATTATTCAAAGCAGCCTATTTAAAGTGATGTTTAACATCTTTCTTGCCCTGATTCTGAAGCTTTGCTACTGCTCTGCGACCGCTCATGTCGGCACTATTAAACGTGTACAGTAAAATAGATAGCGGTACAAAATTGTACTAAACAGGTGGCCATTACAAAGATACCTTGACTGTGTATACCACACACTCCTGCCGGCTTAAAAAACATTTGTAAATGTAAGGTAGTTTGTTCGTGATGAAAAATGGGGATACTCACACTGAAAGTAGAGCTCTTCGTCTCCCTCCTGATCTGCTTTGCTGTACCCACAGTGTCTGCACCACGAAGGGGGGTGGGGAGGGTGAGAGGGTGGGAGGGGGAGACAGAGAATCAACTGATTAGTGCAGGGGGAAATAAATGCCCCAAATTACACGAATCTTAACGCTGCAACTGACTCCGCGGAAGACAAATCTCTTGACACTCGGCTAGCGGCCCGCTAGCCCCATAACATCAACATGCTCAAGGTTCCCTCAAGCAGGTGGTGAGCTACAAGTTATGCATGTGCTCAGCTACTGGGTGGAGAAAAAAAAAAGAAACAGTTTGCAGCGGGTCCCAATTGTTTATGCCGCAATCTTTAATTCTCTTTTTTTTTTGGCAGGTTCTGTAATTTCTTACTTTTATTAGCATACAGTATTTTTAAGCCTGATATAGACGAGTCGCGGTTACAGTTGTTCACCTGTTTTTTCGAATAAATTATTCTTGTTTATTTTAAGGCGGGTTGTTTTTTACATTGTAAACAGGTTTTTCTGTATGTAGAATTACGGGATTTTTTTTTCAAACAACAACAATTTTGACTTTTTTTTTTCATTTTTCTTTGAAATTACATAGTTATCATTCAATGTATGTCATCTTGTCAAATAGTTACACTGAATAGCTATTTTTTTTCTATTCGCTGCTACCTTTAATTGACATTAAAATAAAAAATTTTAAGGCATCTCAGTGTTTCAAATGTATGCATTTTTTTTATTTGATAGATTGAATAGATTCAACTCATTATGGCCAATTACAGCATCATTAGCTTGTACATTAAATGTGTGCTCATTCGTTTACGCTGCTGGCTGTTTATCACTATGTAGCTCTGGAATTAGCCTGCTATTAGTAGAAAAGTTGTTTTTACTCGTGGGACACGGGGACGTGAGTAATGGTTGCTTACAGGAAAAAACCCAACTTTTTTTAGATTCATATATTTCTTAAGAACTAATTAATATTAGATATAAAGATATAAAATTAAAACCATGTCTACGACTGTTTAAAAGCACCAATGCTAATGCTAATTGTGCTAACTGTACTTGAACAAACACAGATGAAACATGTGAGTTGATGATGATTGTGACATCGGGCTGGGCACTTAGCAACATACTTTCCGTCTCACTCAAGGGTTTCTCATACACGGTTACAAACAAGGGATGTTGTTATAAATAATGAGGAGCAAGTTTCCCTAGCTATGCAGTTGTTGCCTTACAATCAAATTTTTTTGGCTTCGTGCTGGAGAGTGGAAACGAAGAAAAAAAAAAAAAAAAAAAAAAAGTGTATCAAAATCCATTAGCACGGCATGCCATGAGATGATGGGTGCACTTGTGCGCGTATGTGCACGTGACAACTCCGCAGATGCGGAGGCCTGTGAGTGACAGAGAGGCTAATTGACAAGCGCAGACTCACAGGAGCGGAGAGTCAATGGGGCCCGCGAGAGCGTACCTTCTCCCGATGATGAAGCCGAACACCATGAACACCAGGATGATGGTCCCTGCCACGGCCACCACCGCTATGATGATGACGGGGTTCTGCTCGCTGGAGACGATCGCGGCTGGCCGACGCACAGAGACACACGGACAGACAGGGAGAGAGAAACACACAGATGTACGCGTGAACTTGTGCACATCAAAAGATCAGGACCGGCGGTACATAATTGAGCCAGCGTTGAGAGTGATAGCCCAACCCGGCTCCTTTTTCTCTTTCTTCTCTCTTATGTGAGGGGAATAATGAGGATGAGGAGGGGGGGGAGGAGGGACTTTTTCTATTTTTGAGTTGTCCTTATACACACGGCTCTACTGTTTCAGAAAGTGGGCTTAATAGTCCCGGATGACATCAGCAATGCCCTTCATCTCGAACAAAGATACAGTGAGTGTTGGATGGTTTTTTTTTCTTCTATTCGTAGCTCTCGAATTGCTCAGATTGTTTGCCCGTGACACACGGACGATTGACACGCCAAGAAACTGCAGCGAATACTTCGATGCAAAGTCGATCCTTACGCTTTTAACACATATCTTGAGATCACAGAACACATAAAGAGAAGATAATGATTTTTTTTTGTTTGTTTTATGGGAGTGAAAGGGAGGAAACACCAAACATTTGATCAGCTGTTACTCACTCAACCTTTATTACTTCACCAACTGTCTACTTTTGAAGGAAGTTATTCGACTCTGACATCGTACACTCACAGCCATTATAAACACTGTAAAACCGAAGCTTGGTCATAGCCTCGTAGGTACAGTATGTTTTCAAAGTTTACATTTACCAAGTAAGTACGTTTTTGAGCAAAGAGCTAACTTGGGAGCACATGGTGGCAGAGTTGGTAATGCTCTTACCTTAGCAAAACAAAAAGGAAGTGTAATTTAACCATAGCTTAGCATAGCCTAGCATAGACCTGGGCAAACTTTTTTGCCACAATTGTCCTAAAATTGAAGAAACAAAAAGGAAGTGTCATTTAACCATAGCCTAGCATAGACGTAGGCAAACTTTTTGCCACAATTGTCCTAAAATTGAACAGGGGTGGGCGGGTCAGGAGCAGATAGATGGAGCGTTTGTGTGAACTAAGATAAATGACATGTAAAGGCTAAAACGCTAAAATGATTTTGTCACTATCTCTGCCATCTATTGGGGAATAATGGGTATTGCAGGTAAAAGTTGTGGCAGAAGTTAAATATTTAATTTGGAAAAATTTGGTGGACCGGATTAAAAAGCTGAACGGGCCACCTCCGGCCCCCGGGCCTTAGTTTGCCCATGCCTGGCCTAGCAAGACGATTGCCAGATTGCTCTAGTTCGCATTTTCTCCCTATATGTGTGTACTGCTTTTAATGGAAACTTTTTTTCTCACACATTTCAAAAACATTTTTTGATCAATTTAAATAGACCACAGATAGAGGTGTGACCTTAAACGGATGTAAAGAAACGTCCAGGGTGTAGCTTACCCCTCATGCTAACGTTAGCTTCAGCTCCTCAGCAACCCCAAAAGGCAAATATAATAAAAGTTAACAAAAAAAAAGTTTAAATTTAGAAACACTGCTCTACAAAGAAATATTTTACCACAACTACAAGTGGATAAAAATGTATGATAGTTAGTATTTTTAAATAAAGAAAGTTTGTTAACCAATATATTACATAAACAACAATCTGCCACTGAGGTGAGTTTGCTTAAGCATTGATGGCTGATGAGCTGCAGCTGGTGAACCAGGTGAAGAACGTGATGCTGATTAGTGGGGAGGAGCTGACATCGCAGAGGTATTTTTTTTCCTGTCTGTTGCTATTGCGCTCATCAGTAATAACACCTAACAGCGACATTTGTGCCGTGTTCATTACATTCTTAAAGTCTTACGGGCCAAGTAGAACCAGCTGAGGTTGGATTAGCATCGCTTCTAGCCTAGAAAGTATGAGAAAATGTTCAAAGTTAAATAATTTCTTGAGTTTGATGAACAAATGTAAATGATAACGCTACAGTCTATAGCTTCATGGACTTTTCCATGCCAAGCCGTCCAGAAGAGCGCTAGCTTCTGGCTCGGGATCCACTTTGCTAACACAGACAATGCTATGAAATATATAACTAAACACCAAGTTTAAGAATGTATTTTCTTACTTTTATTCACTGTTTAATAATTATTGCATTTGTTTTTTAGCCTTAGAAAAATGTTAATTAACATGCGCAAGCTAGCTATACGCTAGCAAAGCAGCTTGATGACTGGCTGGGTCTATACAGATTAAGATGTCACCATGCTGAAGCTGCGGCTGTCACAAGAGGTGCGTTCAAAAAACCATCAGAAACTTTCGACGATTACGGCGGTTTACTCGTTTGTACGGTTCAGGCTAAATTGATATTGAAAAAATATATTTTTAAATCTTCCCTCCAATTTTCCAGGATCCCCTTGCAACCCCCTAGTGATAAAAGTTTTATGTAGCAGTTTCACATAGCTGTCATAAGAAAATACCCATGTTTTTACATCATCAGTTGAATAGGAATTCATATAGCACCAACCATTAGAAGTCTCGTGAGGCTACGCTACTTCGTTGCGTCTTAAAATCTTTACCTTGACATTTGTCAGCATTACGTCAAAGGAGCTTGCGCTCACTTTGGTTTACACTCAGACTAATTTCCCCGGGCTGTTACCGTAATAAGCACAGATATTAACAGGTTGTACATAAACTAGAGCTACAGGGAACATGTTTTGTACAATCACGGGCTGATTAGCTGCCACAGCGAGGGGCAGACACAAACGGAGGGGACAACATAAAACCATGAGCGGGACCAATAAACATTAGTGTGATGCTTTTGACGCCAGTTTGGCAAATTGTTTTTTATTTCTATCACCTTGAAGAGAAGTATCAGATCACTAAATTTTAGAAATTGAGGGTGTCACAAGGACCTTTTCTTTACTGCCGTTTTTGCTCAAAGGGTGTTGAGGTCCCTTAAGAACTGACAAAAAAAAAAAACAATATAATCATAACTTGTGTTTATCCTTTTTGTTTTTATGTAAACAATAATAGTATATTATATATTTATCATCATATATTCATAGTAATTGAAATATAATTTTACAAAAAAATATCCTGAACATGAAGTGTTTTTATTTTCAAAAATCATCAAGTGGGCCGGATTGAATTGCCTAGTGGCCTGTTTTTTGCCCCCGGGCCATATGTTTGACACCCCTGATTTAAACAGTTTTTTTTTACTTTTTTTTACTAAGAAATTAAAAGCATTGCCACACACTGTGTTACCACCTCAGCTAACACCTCAGTACGAAATGTCCCGCGTGTTCATACCTGTGGCTTCTTCTTTAGTAGTTATCTCCATCCTGGGGCTATAGGTCCCGTAACCTGCCTGAGTGAAAGCCCGAATCTGGAACACGTATGCCGTGCTGGGCTTCAGATTGTTCACGGTGGCAGAGTTGGACTTGGATCTGACTGTGGAATATATTCGTTCTTTTTGATCCTGTAAAAAAAAACAGGAAAGAAAAAAGGAATTTATAGAAGAGCTAATAATTGAAATGTATACCATGGTTCTAATGGTAATGGTAATGCATAAAGATTTGTTAGCATTTTAATTTATAGTTTGTCTTTGATACCTAGCAAAAAAAACAAAAAAAACAAAATAATGCTAACAGTCCTATTATTAGCTACACCCGCTACTCAGCAAATACAGAAACGTCAACATCCATCAAAGAAGATATTCGGATGCACGGGCATGTACTTGTGTACTTTGTTGTTGAACTCTAAATGTTCTTTTTTTTTCTTCTTTCAGCTGGCAGCACAAAGGCATTCCCAATATATGTGTAGTTGTTGTTGTCCAATTTTCCACTTTTACAGCTGGGCGGGCTACAGTCACAGTATGCGACACAGGAGACCGAATTTGTCAGTGCACTATGCATGAGAGAGGCCGTGGCTACCGGGACTGGCATGGCTGCTCTGAAACCGAGCTCTTGATTTTCTGGGGGGGTTAACATTTTCTACATTAAACCTTTGCTGTAAAACAGCTGAAGCATTTGTACTTGAAACACACAAGGAAGCAGTGTTTTTTTCTGCTCCCAGTGTGGGAGGGGAAAGGAAATGGGAGGGCGTATAGCAGTGACAGATTGCTAATTCTGGCACTGCAGCAGCCGTGAGTGGTGTGTGTGTTAATGCGTGTGGGGGTGACTATAGCGAGAACTATAGCACGATTAAAATCTTATGAGCCTCTCATTAATTATTGCAATTAGGGGACAAAGGTACTTGCAGAATCCTCCACTCGCAGCAGCAGTGGAGGCAGGCGGAATGTAAAATGAAGCATCTGTAAAACTGAATGTGAGTAGTGAGAATAAAAGTACAAAAAAAAAATGTTTTTACTGGAAGGAGAAAGGAAATACATACTCACTTTTTCATAATATTTGATTTCATATTCTGTGATGACACCGTTGGGTTGTTGCGGCTCTTGCCAGGAGAGCTGAATGCTGCGCTGCTGCACTTTTTCCTTGATGACCTCACTGACCTGGGATGGAGCTGTTTAGAGAAGAACATGTCAGTAAGCGAAGGGCAAACACTTGCGCGCACACGAACACGAGCACACAAAACGCGGGCAGCCACGAGTCAGCCACGCTCCTGACTCCTCCACTGCTCAGAGACTCTCACGAGCGCATGAATATTCATGCTATGCTACTTAATGTTTACATGAGTGAAATTTCAATTACAGTGCACACAACGGATGTCGCATTGCCTTAGCCTGCGGGAAAACGCCAGCATGTAAATTAGAAATGACTATTGAGTGCAATTCATGTCAACATTTCTGGAGATCAAGCAGGCCCTTTGATAGGGTTTTTGAAAACCCTCTGACATCAACCTATGCACTCCAATATAAGACTCTTTGAATGGATTATTCTAAGTGTCTGGCTGCCAGATAGGGCAGGATAGCACACCTTAACTTGACTAACAATTTGGGTTGGGAGTTTTGTTTTTTAGCTGTTAATATGTACAGGTACATTTTTGGAGTGCGCTTAACAGCCTTGTCTGTGTACTTTATTTTTTGGACTATAAGTCGCTCCGGAGTAAAGGTCGCACCAGCCAAAAAATGCATAATGAAGAACAAAAAAAAAACACAGATAAGTTGTTGCGGAGTATAAGTCGCACCAGTGCCATCTAGCGGCTGTCAGTGTGAAAATAACGAACATGTACATTTTTAGTGGTACAGGAGTAGCAGATACTGCTAAACAAGCCTAGAGTGCCCTCTAGTGGCTGTCAGTGTGAAAATAACAAACATGTGAAATTATATATTTATATATTTATTATGTACTGTAAGTCGCAAACCCAGCCAAAGGATGAAAAAAAGTGTGACTTATAGTCTGGGAAAAAGAAGTAAAATATTTTACATCACTATCTCAGCACATTTATATATTGAATATATACATATATTTATTTGAACAGGTTTAGGTCTTTAGTGGCCCACACTTGGTATCCAAATATAGGGAAAATGGATCACATCACATTCAAACTACCTTCCAAATGTTCCTCCGAGGGAAATTTCGGTGCAAAAAAACTTAATCTGGCCTGACTAAAACTCAACTTTTTAAGTCCGACTGAATCCTAGATGACCAATGATGATGATCCAAGTCTGTTTTTTGTGTTGTTGTATGTAGGCTAGGTTAACTCAGCTATGTGATCTGGACCTAGTCGGACTAATTCAGGGAGCACCGCTTGGAACATTGTCAAAAATGTCCATATTTAACAATGTCCTTCCATAGAAATGAGCACCTGCTTGCGTCAGTTTTGATCAACATGATTGTCAACGGCAATGATATTAAATCATCTGTAAAAAAAAAATGTCCGTCTTTATTAAATTACATGTAACGACTGGTCCTTAAAAACACAGCAAAACATTTAGTGGCGCGGATGTGTCCAGTAAATGATCTGTAATCGTGGTTGCTTTTTTTTGTATGACTTCAATTACCCTCGTATTATTATCATAATTATAATTACCGACATTAAAACAGCAGTATTCCTAAAGATGAACAACGGCTGTTTGGGTTACTAAACCTTGTTGAAAATGTTCACACTGTACTGTCAAAAAAGGATTCATAAACAAAGACAAGTAGCTTCAAAAGCAAATATATGCATAAATATATACATATAAAAATCATTTAATTAGATAGATTTTTTTGGTTTATTTATATATCAGGTTTATATCAGTGCTGGTTATTATTTGTCCACTCAGCTAGATGTGGATACACAATAGTACTACTGTATAAGCTGACTTATGTAGACAAACTATGTGGCAGTAGAGTGTGTTCAAAACGCTGCAAAGCGAACAAGAGATACAATCGTTGTTTTGAAAGTTGACACCAACCAACCGGAGACAAAGCTTTTCCAAAATGGACAAAAGCTGCTGGAGCAATGATGTGTCAGCAGTGCGCTCATCGATCCATTGGGAGCGAATTTATGTACCCTTTGCACGTCCTGACCCGAGGTGGTTTCGAGATGGTATGCTACTAATAACCCCAGCTGGATTAAAATCTCATGAAGTAATGCTGAAAGGGGCGGTAAACCCAGAGACCTTGTCAAAAACGTACTACTGCCACAAGCCTCTTCACATCCCACAACCATCTTAATCAATGAAACAATACGATCTTTTTTATACAAAGATGGTCTGTCAATCCTCAAGTTTAGGAAAGACGGACAAATTTCGGAGCAGCCCAGATGGACTAGTGGAGACTAGTGATAAGTTGTGTGAAAGATTGGACAGTAAGGTAAGAGGAAAGGATACAGTATTTACCAGAATGTTTAGCAAAATCAGGATAATGGTTTGAAGGGTTTACTGTTGAGGTAAGAGATGAGGGCAGGCAGTTAATCAGAAAGTTCAGGGAATGAGTGGGGAGTGAGTGAGGGCAGGTTCGAGGGGGATGAAGTGCGGAAAATCCGTTGTTGTCGGGATGACGTGGATATATGGAGGTGTTAAGGACGGAGTGCGGTGAACTCTTTGACCCCGGTGTTTAACTTAATCCTGGGCACTGAGAGATGCCGAATGAATGGAGAGAGTGTTTACTGGTACCGATTTTCAAGAACGGGGCGCTACGCAGCATTGCAGATGCTACAACTGCATACTTGTTCAGCCACATAATGGAATATTCAAGAAAAGTACTACAGATGGCAATTTCTGCTTTGGCAGTGTTGGTAGAAAAGTTCTGACAAGAACGACTTGAACTGTGTTTTTGTGGGTTCAAAAAGCCTAGGGAAGAACTCGGGTACTGGATGAGAATGTCAGGAGTGGCAGAGAAGTACATGAGTTTGGTGGAGGACATGTTAAAGGCCAATTAGACAGTGGTTAGGTGTGTTGTCAGAGTAACTGATGGATAAAAGGTAGTGGTGGGATTAGATCAGGGATCAGCGCCGTGCTTTTGTTTGCAGATGACACTGTAATATGTGGTAAGAGCAGGAAGCAGGAGGAACAAAACCTAGACAGATGGAAGTTTTGTTTTGGAGCAAAGAAGAATGAAGGTTAGAAGGAGCAAGAAATACATAGACTTTTATCTCTAATACATATTAGAGATAAAAGTTTGAGATAGTTTGGCCGTACTGAGAGATGGTGGACACTTTGGATCAAGGATGTAAGAGATAGAGTTGCTCGGCGAGGGGTCAAGAGTGAAACGCAAGAGAGGATTTATTGATGTAGTAATGGAGGACATGGAGATGGTTGGTGTAAAAGTACAGACGGCAGTGGACAGGGTGAGGTGAAGGCAGGTGATCTGTGCGGTGAAAAGAGCAACTGAAAAAAAGAAGAAGAAGGTCTGTCGAATGCTCGAGTATTTATCTTTCATACAAATCCAAACAAATGCCACAGAAATAGAACTTTTCCTTCCAGTATAAAAATCTGGTTTGGGTTTACTAAAACTAAATGTTGCGTCTTGTCTGTGTCTACGGCTTCAGTCTGACATTTGCCTTAATGTCCTGCAGATGTGTTCTTTCTCTTGAAGAATTTGTTTTGTTTTTTTAAATGGCATGTCTTCATATAAAAGGAGAAATGATCTGTAGTCAAAAATGGCCTTCTGGTGTTATTACATCACAACACTACGAAGTCAAAGGTGCGCTCCGTAGCAATTCAGTGTTGAACTTAAGTGTCCAACTCATAAAGTTGAAGGGCTCACCAGAGGCTCGTCATAATTTATGTAGCACTGCCTGTGAATTCCTAACTTCATTGCCCCGGTACAAGACAACCTACAGAGAGCAGAAATACTTCAATTTCCACCATGCAAGACTGGTTGAGCTGACATATTTTTTTGTAGCTTTTGAATATTGGATATTGAAATACGCTAGTAGGGTCTATAAGTGGACCCCTGAAATAATATATCCCATCTGTTGTTTTCTACACTGCAGCATAAACGAATGCTTGGGAGGCTTCATCATTGCTTTAAAAGCTGTTTAAGAGAATGCTAAGGAAGGCATTTGTGCATTTACTTTTGTAATAAATAAAATGTGCAGTGACCCTGAAACGCTCCTCCTTTAACGTTAAATGATCCAGAAACTAGTCTGCAACACGCTCGGCATTTGAATACCTTATGAATATATTAGGTAGTTCTTTTTTTTTTTTTTAATATACTTTTCTTTCACTCAGCTGGCTGATTTGTCTCCAAGGTGAAAAATCAGCGAGATGGTAGGTCATTACATGAGCGTTATTGTCTGCCTCCGCGCTCGCCTCACCACCCATGCCGGTTTGTTAAACGCACAAATGAGTTGGTGCTATTTTCACAATGCACTTGTGTACGTCAACGCCTACAGAACCATCTGTGTTTTAAACTTTATTTGCTCTCTTAAGGATTTTAAACGTATCTATTTTATTGCAAGACGAAATACAGGTAAACGATATGGGTGTAATTTTAATCGGGGCTGTCAAAAAATTTAAAAAAATTTGGAGTTGGATTTATTATTTAAAAATAATGCCACAAAGGGTATTTTCTTTTGTCGAGCAACAAACTAGTCCAACATGTAATACATTTTGCTGTAGGAAATGACTATGTCTCCCAATAGCAATTGGTCATCTGAAATTTAAGGCAAATTTCATGTCAACTCAGCTGGGCTATTAAAGCTGAAATTCCTACGAGAGCGCTGGTATGCTTGACTGTGAGAAAGCAAAAGGTGTGAATATGTATGTTAATATCTCAGAATAAGATGAGCCCTCGTACCTATGAGGGAAATAACCCTCCTTATGTCCCTACACTGAAGTACATGTACATGTACTTCTCTTTCACTAAGTATTCATTTTTTCACATTAGCACATCAAAATTCTCCATTTTAATCGAATTGATCAATTGAATAATCAATCAGTACGATCAATCCTCTGAGAAGGAATTTGTTGTTTTAAATATGTTTTCAGTCATTGATGATACATTTTAAACAAATAAATCTGCTTCCTTTTCCGACACAAAACCGACTGCGGCCTTTCTACAAACCCTCGTTTCAAAGTAAACATTTTTACTGTGCCAATGTGAATGTAAAAGTATTTCCTTTCCTTCGAG